TCTAAAGCAGTGATACTCAATAGGCAGCCCCCTCATTCTGACCCTCAGACCACCAGCGCCTCCCACTCTCCGGACCAGTCCTTTAAGGATATTTAGTATGAGTCCCCCTTACTCTAACAGCAAGTATAGAATGAATGAATGCCTTGTGAGTCGTTTTCAGTGGGGAACAAAATCTCTGGAGCTCCTGTTTCAGGATGTAGAAGTTAGATGGAGGAGTGGGGGCCAGAAAAAGTCTTAGTCATTAATTTCATGATATTTGGACGTCTGCCTCTGTTCGCTCTGCAACGCTGACGTTCTATTTCTACAAATAACACAAGCCTGGAGGAGTTCTCCTGTGTTGTGAAGTTGCTGATGCTAACAGTTAGCTTCGACTAGCCGAGACATGCTCTGCTCTCTCCTGGCTGCAAAATCAACACAACCTTCCACAGTCAAAAGCCAAGATGGGTGAGTCCATGAATGCTAATTTTACAGTGTGGCATACATCTATGTGGCTTTTTCTGAGCCAAGTGTTTTCTCATTTATGTCTTTCTGAGGCTAAAGCAGGCAATGAGGGTTGAGGATTATTTTCACATTCATTCATTCATTCATTCATTAGCGTGACATCGTATTTCAAAACAAACAACGCAGTTCTTAGTAAAACTCACCTTTAACGTTGCATTAAATTTGATACAGGTGGCAAACTAGAACAGTTTCAAGGAATTCAAAGTGGTGTTCTTCTTTTCATGAAAGAAACCATAGAAGAAGACCCACAGGACACTTCTTCTAGAACGCATTTAAGACTTTCTTTTTGAAAATATATAATACTGTTGATTATTTCTGATGAAGCACTTCTATAATAACATTTTATGTTCCCCAAGCAGATGCAAAGGTACTGGTGATTTAAAGTTTAATAAAATAATTAGAAAAATATAGCTTTGTGGTGTCACTTTGAGTAAAATTCATTATTTTAATATGCTCTCACATATGCAAGTGACATTTTTCTAAAAGTAACTGAAAACTAACTAAAAGTAGTGTAACTCAGTTACATTTTTGAGACAGTAATATGTAATTCAAGCAAAAAACATTTTTAAAGCTGTAACTAGTAATATAAAATGTATTAAAATTTTAAAGTCACTTGCCCAACACTATCGCCCACCAACACCAAATTTCAGCTCAACGTCTATAAACATTTCAGAGCTAAAACCATTTTTGTGTTTGCTAAACACTGAGAGTTGAGCCACCCAATGATTCATGATTCACTTTGCTAAGTTAAAAATATGCACTCAAAGGCCAAAAGCACCATCACACCTTTCAACTTTCAGCGGCAGATGATAGGAAAAACAGGAAGTGACACGTTAGAAATGAAATGTAGACAATCCCAAACAACACCTGTCGTGTAGAAGTGCTAATGTGCAATCAAAGATGGGAGCAAGTAGGAAGAAGGTGATAAATAGTAAATGAAGAGACTTATTCCTGAGACAAACTCCTAGGGGAGGTTTTTGCATGCAGCATTGAGCCGAGCAGCCAAATTCTTTCTGTTCCTGTTTTGTTTAAAGAGCAAGTCACCCCCAAATCAACTTTTTTAAATAAGACAATAAATTAGTGTCTAAACATGCTGTAGTGTAGTCAATAATTTGGCACTTTAGTGCATATCAGATAAAATTATAATTTTCCTTCTAAAACTGTCAGTGTTGCGCCATCTTCAGGTAAAAACTCTGCACTGCATTTTAATTTAAATGTGCCATTGTTATTGGCTAAGAGGTACCCTATGACGTCAGCTGGTACCATATGATGTCACAATGTCGTTGTGTGCGTGTGTGTGTATTTGCTAGCAGCTGCTTCGCCCTCTCGGTCTGCCAGGCAACAGCATTTGTTGTATTATTCAAACAGGAAGTGGGAGTGGAGTAAGAGTCTATAGGGGGTGACTTGCTCTTTAAATACATTTGTCTCACGTACATCCAAGATTTAAGTCTAAAATTATAATCGTGCAGATTTTCAATAACTTCCTGCATTGTTGTCATCTACATTAAAACAGGCTTTTGAATGACCTCTACAGCCGCTGGTTTGTTTCTATTGCTTGATAAATGACAGCCAAACGTCTGCAGAGGAATGGGCGTGAACAACTGGGACAAACACGAGAAGCATTTCCTAATGAAACATCTACATAATGCATTAAACAAGTAGGAGGTGCTGCTAATGTGAATACACTTATTTTGTCTGGTGGTGACACACTTACAGCACCTGAGCTGCTCCTACTTCCTGTTCTAGTCTTTAGTCAAGAAGAGATAACTGTGTTTTTGCATGCATCTGTCGCCAAGGAGACCAGACATCACACCATACTGATCTGCTTCTCTCCTCCCTTTTCCCCTCCTCCTCTTCTTACATCCATCACTACAGCTCTCCATAAACACACAATAAAAGTTACAGAGAACCATTACAGTGTTTGATGACTTTGGGTTTTACTTTTTCTCTTCTAATGTAAGTTGAACTAATATTAGTGTAGATTCTCAGTTATGCATAATCGTACAATCCCAAAATGTGTTTTTAACCCTTTGATGCATGAATTATGAAATCTTCAACCATGTTTTTTTAACAATTTTTTTCATTCGTCTTTAGGTGTGAATGAAACAAATTTCAACAAATATTTTTTGTAAAATTTTATAATTTACAAATAATTTATTACATGTCCACCTCAGTGGGCAGCGTGCATTCTGAGCATAAAATATGTTGGCTTGGCTTACTGAAGTCCAAATGGAGGGGCTCAAATGCAATAAAGTCTTCAACAGCTGTGCTTAATAGCAAAAATAAATAAATAACAATTTTGAGTACCTGTCCACTGTAGTGACCATTATGCATCAAAGGGTTAATAAAATGTAAAAAAACTAGATGTTCTGCCCCTTTTCCCTGAAGAATGGGGATCTCTGAGCTTTTAAACTTTTGTAAGCTACTTCTTTTTTTGCCACTTGAATCCCTCTCCTCCCTCCTGAGTGGCTGTCAGGCTGATGTGGAAGTTTTAACTATGCCCACTCTGGAGCTATTTGCATGGGAGTTCAAAACTGGAGATAGTTCAAAGTCCTGGACCTCTGCACTGTTTCAGTTCAGGTTAGGAAGTCTGATTGAGCAAGAAGTGAAATGTAACAATGACCAAACCAAAAGACTGAAACTCTATTTTAAACCAAGTTCAATTGTTTTTCAGCACGAATGCCTTGTGAGTTGATCTCTGTGAGGAAATAAAGCTCTCATGCTCCTTTTTCAGGAACTCAGTTAGCCAGAGGAGAGGGAAGCAGAACACAGATGATGAGCTGCTAATGCTAATGGTTAGCTTCTACTAGCCGAGACGTGCTCTGTTCTCTCCTGGACGCTAAACCAACAACAGCCTTTCCAGTTCCGGGCCAAGATGGCTGAGTCCATGAATGCTTATTTTTAATGTGAAATACAGTTTACTGGCGTATCTGCTTAGAACGTTTCCCCCTCGATTTTCTACCGCCGGCTAATGCAGGAAACAGTGGTAGAAGACTACTTTCATCTACCATCATATTTCTAAAATAGCAAGTGAAACACGGTCTATAAATGGAACTCTGTCACAAATAATCTTCCAAACACATCAAAGCATCCAGACGGAGTATCAGGACTAGTACCTTCATTAGAAATCTGCCATATCCAGTCCTATACATCTTTACTGCCCTCTGGTGGAGGACATGCAGGTGGAAAGGGCCAGTTTTATTTCTGTTACAGTGAAATTGCTAAAAAAAATTTTTATATATTTAGAGTTAACACCAAACAGTAAAAAGTTAAACAGTGATATTATTGTATAGTTATTTAATGTTTCAAGGGTAAAATTAGGTGCAGATTAGCTTGTTTTTATGAAATGATTGTGTACAGGATTGTAAATTTTTGTTTTAGGTGCAAATAAAACAAAAAAGGGAGTTTTCCTCTCCACTGTCGCTATATGCTTGCTTAGTATGAGGATTGCTGTAAAGTCACTGACACTAGTCAGTGACTCGATGACATTTGCTGGGTTCCTTATATAGGAAACATTATTTCTGATTGGCTTAATGAACTGACCTGAACTGGAATGTTTATTATGTGAAGTGCCTTGAGACGACTCTTGTCGTGATTTGGCGCTTTATAAATAAACTGAACTGAATTGAATGTGGGGAACTACAAAGGAAGGATGCTTTGTAAACAAACTAGGAGTACACATTATACAAAATACTTTTTTATTACTAAAAAATGTTATAGTAAGCAGATTAAATCATTTTTTGCTTATTAAGCATTTAGAAATTTAACGTTATGGGATCTGAGTACCCTTCTGATCCATGATTCAGACAAACGGCCCCAAATATCAGGTGAAGAGGCGTGCCCCCCCAAGATCACAGCCATGTCGTTCTCCGACTTCACCGTTCTCCAGTCGTACATCGTTTCTCTGTCACAAACGCCTGGCTGCCATCAAAAAGGATGACTAACTCTGACAGGATGCGACACAGGAAGCCGCTCTCTCGTGCGCACGACAAGCAGATGAGGGTCAGCGAGGCAAGCGTGGTCTCTGATAATAGAAGAGTTTCAAAACTATGCCAGTCGAGATGTAGTACAAAAAACTGCACAGTTCATTTGGTTCAGCGCAGATTGAGCTGAGTGTAAGCAGCTTCAGATGCTTTTCATAGACTCTCCCTGTAACACAACATAAATTACATGTTTTACATTCAGGAGGTGGCGAGCAGAAAGAAAAAGGCGCAGGTATGGAACAATACATTAGAAGGTGACAAGATGAAGAAAACTTGTGAAGTGAGAGGCAGAGAGAAAAGTGAGAAAGGGGCTCCAGGAAACAGCAATCAAAGAATAAAAAAGGTGTGAGAACGTGACGCTGTGAAGCGCTGAGGAGACGGTGATGTAGTTGGAGGACAGGCGAGGTGAGGGGAAATTCCTGCGAGGGTTTTGCTCAGCTTATGCCTCCTTGTTTATCAAACCTGTGGAACAGGGAGACTTCACGTCGGTGTTGAAAGCGAGCGAGGCATCCGTACCTGTGCAGCCTGCCCTCCAACAGCTCCACGTACTTGACGGTGTTCTCTTTCAGCCGGCGTTCTGTACGAAAAGAAAGGCACAAAGAGAACAACAGGCTGTTACTTGCACCTTCATTTGCTACTTCTATTGAAAGCGATGCGGTTACCTAGCAACTAATCACAGCTCGAATACTATTAAAACCCACTTGTCATTAGCTGTGGCATACATGGGCCCTTTTAGAAAGGTAGTCATCATCCCACTTGGTGACGGTTTTGTGCAGAAAAACTGCGACAGTGTAGTTTAGCACAAAGGGCCAGCTGGCTCTCTAAACAAAAACACTCATCTGAGCAAAGATCATTCCCTCTGCTCTCAGAGGAGATCAGATTTTAGACGGCCTTAGGATAAACGGGGATTTGATTGCAGCGTAGCTCCTTATATCTCACCAGATTTTCTGTAGGGCAGCAGTTGGATGGAAAGCTGATGTTGCTTCCTGCGCCCTTCTGCCAGCAGCGAGCTGCGCCTGAGGAGGCTGCTGAATGCTGTTCACACTGGAGAGGAGGGCAACGCGAGCACCATTAATGAGCTCATGTATGAAACATGAGAATCTGCCCCCATGCAGCAGGAGATCCTCCAGCTCAATAGGATGCACTTTAATCAAATGGTGCTGCATTTGCACAGTAATGGATCAAAATTATTCATGTCCAAGAAAATGTGTGATTTTCAGAAATCTGATTTTTTCTTTTAAATATGGAAGATGACAAGTAACGAATGTCATTTAGATTTAGTGCTAAAGGAGTAAACTACAGCAACATTTGCTGGTATTTTATAAATCATACAGAACCAGAGCTATTGCAAAGAGCTGTGAAATAGTTGAGGTCACAAAATTTACATTTAAATTTCATTAAATAAAATAATGAACTTTTCAAATAATGACTTGATTCATTAAGGGGGAAACTGCTCTAAGTTTTTTGTCCTTACAACAAGACATGATGTGTTCTTTTTTAGGTCTTTTAGACGGAGTTAAAACACTTTTTGCTAGAGTTGGGGTCAGAGTCTCACTGGAATACTTGTAGATGTAAATTTTCAACTTTGAATGTTATTAGGTGGATAATAAAATACTGTTTTTCTTCTTATTTTCTGCATTTTTTTTACTTTTCATATGTTTTTCCAATTTTTATAACCTTTGAATTTTTTTTAGTTCTTATTTTTGCTAATTATTAAATAAGTTCCTTTTGTAGACTGCAATCCGACGCTTACATGCCACACCCACACAAATGCGCGTTTGCTCTTTCTTCTCAAACCCCGATCAGCTGTGGCAGACGGCTGCTTGGTTTGTTTGAGGTTACTTCCTGTGAAAAGGGAGTTTTCCTCTCCACTCTCGCCACATGCTGTTGCTGTAAAGTCTCCGACAAAACAAGTCTGTGACTTCATGCAATCTGCTGGGTCTCCTTCATAGGAAATTATTAACTAATAGACATAGGGAGCCTAAGTCTCCTCCCTTTTCGGTCGGCTCGAACGAAAAAGTGAATGCAAGTCAACTATTTTCTAATCCGCTTTGCCTTAGACCCTGGATCACACATGTTGTACTTCAGTTTAAATGAAAACTAATGATGGGTGTTTCGACTAAGCCAGTCACGTATGTTGAGATTTATCAGCTTGTAAAAGTTCGTAATTAGAGTGACTACACAGCAGAACTCGGCACGTCACATATGTGACGTCACCACATAATCTCCTCTCCCCTAACGTAGCTGCTACTTACCAAATGGCCAGATTTATGTAGTTCTTTCCTTCTGAAAGGAGGATTTCAAGTTCGCTGAACTTACAGCCATTCTCCCTCTGCTTTTCTTTGATGATGTCACTTTAGTGAAGCGCATTTGTAGTCCTGAACTTATTTTCACATAAAACTTAAAATAGCATTTCCCTCTGTTCGAAAATAAGCGTGTTCTTGGTATCAAAATGCATCATTAAAATTCACGGACATCATATGTGAAATCCATGGCACATAACAAGCGTTTTTGGCCCCGTTGACTTGCATTTATTTTTTTGTTCTTCCGGGAACCCATGGTCCGGAAGTAAATGGGCGTGACTTAGGCTCCCTATAAAGAACTGAACTGAATGGATTGAAAAGTAGGTTCAATTAGAATGTCGTGACTTGGTGCTAAATACATAAACTGAATTTGTTTGGAAAAAAAATTGAATAAAAGGCACACTTGGGAGTTTTGCTTGCTTTAGTACCCCTCATGTTCATTATAATTCTCTGTGGTCAAAGCAAAAGCGAAACTTATCTCCTCGCTGTGCGTTCGTCTTTTTAACACCTTAGTCTAACAGCTGAAAGGTCTCCTCAGCCTTCATTAGTTTCTACAGGAGTCATTCGTCACTAAATCAAACAAATTAGCTGTGTTCATAAAGCATGCTAGAAACGTGCAGGAAGCAAACTACATCTCCACCATGTCAGCTCCACTCCACTCCACAGCTCCCTCCACCAGAAGTAGCAAATACAAAATTAAGCAAATACTTTATTTAAATAGCTAATACATAAAATAATAATAAAATAAAATAAATCAACCAGAAGTAGCAGCTCAGCAACTCTGAAGATGCAATTGCAGTATTCTGGCCACAGAGGGCGGTGGTGTCTGAGTGGCATTACCTGTAAATGGTCATTAGCACATACTGGCTCTGGAGAATGATTTAAAAATGTGAAAATGTTGCATAGTATCCCTTTAAGTGAATTATCCCACTGTGCGATCACTAAAGGCTATTCTTCTTCTTTCAACTTTATATATATATATATATATATATATATATATATATATATATATATATATATATATATATATATATATATATATATATATATATATTAGGGGTGGGCCGTTATCGGCGTTAAGGCGCTGCGGCAAAGCCAGCCTCTTATCCACGATAAAAAAAATGACGCCGTTAATCTATTCTCAAAGTTGGGTTGGGATCTGGGTCTATACTAAGTAAACTATGATGACTTTCACATTGCGCGGATGGATACCTGGTTGGCGCGGATGTATACTCGGCGCGGATCATCGTACGTATGGACCGATGGTATGGACGGACGCCAGGCTCGCGGAGATTATTGTTCCCCATGCAGCCGAACAGTCGCACCTTCGCCACCAGCAGCGCTTCTCCCTTCTCATCGCGCGGGACAAGTAAATAATTTATGTACGTTCACCAGAGTTTAATCCATAAATCCGACTTTCATTCTTTTTATTTTGTTTTGTTTACCTCCGACATTTCCAGCCGGGCTTTCCCCGGGCCACACTTTACCGTCCGCGGCCGAAGCAGCGCTCGGATGTGAGAAAATCGAGACAAGACTTTCTCAGACAGATGCGGTTTCCAACTAAGTTTAGCTCTTTTAGCAGCTGTTTATTGTGATAAAGTGATAAATTGTTTCTACAGGTCGTTGTTCATGTGGCTTCGACTCAAATTCGCCTGTAATAATAAATGTTTTACTCATAAATGTGTATATTAGTTTAGAAAAGTTGAGCTAGGATAACTCCCCTTGCCGTTTTCAGAGACAACAACAGCAACAGTTGGCTTCTGCTCATACAGGTGAGCTGTGGCATCATTTCCAGCTCTCGCTCCAATTCACCAGAGGGGAACCTACATGCAAACTAAAGGGGGGCATTGGAAGGGCACCCCAAAAATTTTACCCCCTCCCTAGGCCAGATAGTTTGTGTGTGTGTATATCTATACATATCTATATACTTTTTTCTTTAGCAGGCCATATTGTGCAGAAGAGAAGATCTAGTTTGTCACCAGACAATGTGAACAAGCTGGTCTGCTTGAGTGACTGGTGGGAGAAGGAGAAATAGAGCTTGGACTGATTGACCAAATGCTACTGACTGTAAATAGTTAATCATGACCTATTCTGTAGACCTACAGTGCAGAATTTGTTGAACTGAATAAACAGCTATTAAACACAAATACTTATTGATCATTATTTATTTTCATCATCAGTTATCGTAGTAAAACTGCTTTATCAGTCTGTAATGCATTATTGAAACAAGAAATACACCTCCATTCTCAAAGACTTGCTTTTATTCATTATCTAGGTAGCACACACATATGCCTTTGGCAGAATTTGAATGAGCCATTTTAATCTAGATTAATCTAGATTAATTCCAAGACTGCAGTGAGATTAATCTAGATTAAAAAAATTAATCTATGCCCACCACTAATATATATATAGATAGATAGATAGATAGATAGATAGATAGATAGATAGATAGATAGATAGATAGATAGATAGATAGATAGATAGATAGATAGATAGATAGATAGATAGATAGATAGATAGATAGATAGATAGATAGATAGATAGATAGATAGATAGATAGATGTATATAGCAGCAGTGGTCTAGATGTGAAGTTAGTTTGAAAACTTCAAGGGTAGAATGTTTCAGGATTCAACTAGAAGATGACATAAATAGAAAAATACAACAAAAGTCCTCGTCTTCCCCACTAAAGTATAGACGCACTCTAAGCTGGCCTCATAAATCTGACATTTCTGACATTTTTACGTCCTAACAGACAGTCTGGGTTTGCTGTCTCACACTCCTGTTGTGATGGTTCTCACCTTGAGGTCAGAGCGCTCAACGAGGTTAACAGACGAACTAAAGATGTGGGTCACACACTTTTCTACAAATGGAGACACTTTCTGGGAATGTCATCATTTATTGTTGGAATATTGGTTTAAAAGTTTAATTAACTAATTAAGCACAAGAAGTAACCTAACTGAGAAGGTGATTTCCCCCTAAATCAAAAACCCACTTTTTGATCCAACAATGTCACGTTGCGGGGATGGTTTGGACCCAAAATGCAGACCACCAGATGACAAGAGGCAGGAGTTGGCATAAAGTAAAATTCCTTTAATTTTTGAAAGAGGAAACTAAATAAATCCAAAAGGCAGCGAGCCAAAGGTCAAAAATCCAAAAACCTGGTGACTGGAACCAAAGCTCACACAGAGCACAAGAACTGGAAGACGAGATGCCAAAGCTTCACACAGAGCAACAAAACAATGCTGACAAAACAACAATGGACCGACACAAAAC